TTTTTCTTCAACATGATGTCGGCAATCTCTTTGTAGCAGTCCCGCACGTAGAACTGCTGTTCGTCCCAAATTTCAGAGTCCTGTTCTAACTTGAAACTGCCCGTTTCCGTTTTCAGGATTTGCCCTTCCAGCTCTGCATCATCCAAAGCTCGTGCGAAGGCCTTGACATTCTCGGGAACATCGCTCTGAACCTGAAACCAAGCAAAGCAGCAACAGAAACATAAACGCTGTCTCACATCAACGAGAAACAAAACACAACGAACTCGGGCTACGACTAAAACTAATCTTCGCCAAAAAACGGGTTGTGGTTGGGTAATGTCCTTCCGAATGCGGTCATAAAGGCTTTGGGCCATGATCATCCGCTGTGCATCATTTGGGAATGTCTGTTGCAGCGCACCCAGCAAACTCTCTCGAGAAGCCTCCACCAAGGCCGAAGGGCTGTAAAATGAGAGCGCCTCGGCCATGTTGTCTGAGACGCCTTTATCATATCCCAAATCACACATTTGCTCACGAATCCAGCTCGGCACCTCATTGTGCTCCACATCCTTCAACAGCTTTGAATTCGGCGGCAGGGCAGAGAACTGTAAGGTTCGCGCTGCGAAATGCCAAAAGCAGAAGAAATGGCAAAGAAGGACATAGCGCCAAACACGAGCATTGCGCAAGGCAAGCATTGCTACAACAAAAGTCTTGAAAAGCAACAGCTCGTATTCCTGCAACAGCTCTTACTCTTCCTGACTTTGAATCATGATCTTACTTGAAGCATCAGCGCAGTGCAGTTTGATATTGTTGAGCCTTAACGACAGTGATGGCAAGCACTGGAAGCAACAACACATCAGCATGAACAAGCCTTACACCTTTCACAATTCGTGGCGTAAATAACCCCTCTTATCATCATCTAAATAGTAATAGTCTTGTCCTATTTTCTTGTCAATTTCTTCAAGTTTTGCCAGAACCAGTTTCACCTGTTCAGCGTATTTGTTGAATATCCATCAACTCTTTCATTTCAGTCTTGCTCTCATCTCCACTTGACATTACTATTTATTTATTTATTTGGAAATTAATTTATTTAATTATTTATTTATGAGTTGGAGTTGATAGAAAAACTACTCTTTAATATAAATGGTTTCGTTTCAATCCATTTCAGACATCATCTGTTTTTTGCTGTTCCGTGGGGTTGCTACACTTTGTGTTTCAGCACTTCGTGTATTCATAACAACATTTTTCATCATGTCATTTTTATTCTTTTCATCATCGGTTGGAGGAGTTGTAATTCTATTCCAACTGAAACTAATGCTGTGGTCTTGACTATCCAATGTAATCCCTCCTTCGTCATCTTTATTAACACTCATTGTTTTATCATTTTTTGTAAGTTTGAAACTACACGGATTGCAACGGCAGGTTATGCCTTTTGGATTGATTGCAATTTCATTCCTTAACTGCAACTTACACTTACAAACCGGACAATCAAATAACATATTTTTGCTTGTTAATTTCTGTTCTTCATTCAATTTTATCATTGTTGGTTCATCATCAGACAGTTCAAAATCTTCTGGAATAGGTTGCTTTTTCAAACTATGTTTCTTTTTTGCTGGCATCTATATAGTGTTTTACGTTATAAATCACCATTTTAAGGATTTCAAGTGAGTATTTACAACAGATTTTAATTTTGTTATTTTCAACAACTGGGAATTTAGCATCATCAACAATTGCATCTTCAATAATATTAATATCTTGAATATATCCATCCATCTATATAATTAGATGATATAAAATATCATTTAATTATATTACAATAACTACGCTGAAACCGGGGTGAGGGGCGAAAATATGAGACGCAGAAGGAAAACGAATTCAAAAACCTCTTCAATTGCTTTGAAAAATAGTGCTGTTCCAAAAGTTGAATTAACTGTTCTATGCGCATATGCAGATTGAAAGCAACTGTCCATTCATAGACCCCAATCATATGTATTTTTGCTCTTCAATACATTCATATATATATATATTTTATTTCTTATATAAATATATTATGAAAAAACTTGACATTCCAAAAATTGAACCGATAAATGTTAAGCAGTATGAGTTCAAGCAATCACCATATCCACAGGCGGATAAACTCCCATTCAGGTCAATCATTGTTAGTGCCAGTCAAGGCGGTAAAGGCATTCTTATCCAAAACTTAGTATTAAAAATTTACAGGGGATGCTTTGAGAGAATATACATTGTATCACCAACAGCGCACATAGACGAAGCATACAAAGAAGTGGTGAAATATATTGAGAAAGAACTGAAGATAGACAACAAAAAAGAACAATACCTGTTTGATGAATACAACCCTGACGCATTGGCACACATCATAGACACCCAGCACAAAGTAATAGAGTATCAGAAGAAAATGAAGATGAACAAACTATTCAGTTGCTTATTGATAATAGACGATTTCGCAGAGGATAAGACATTTATGAGATATTCTAAAATTTTACACGGCCTATACACGAAATCAAGACACTTTGGATTATCGGTCATAACCGCCAGTCAGAAATACAACGCATTAGCACCGATAGTTAGATTGAATACAAGCAGTCTATACATCTTCAAGTTAAAAAATATGGCAGAAGTTGATGCCTTCGTTCAAGAGCAGTCGGCACTGATAGACAAAAAGACGGTCTACGACATTTACAAAATAGCAACAGAAGACCAACCCTATTCATTCCTTTTCGTAAAATTGAGAGAGAGTGATATAAACAAGATTTTTATGATAAGATTGGAGAAGGCGATACACATCAACGGATAAACACCAACATTCAATAATATTATTTGAATATAATATTATTAAATTAGCACAGAGACATATTACACAAATCCACCTTTGGCATAGCATATATCATTTTTGTTTGCTTTTCTTTTTCAAGTTTCAATATACGCTCCCTCATCTCCTTTATCGCTTCAATCTGTAATTTATCAATGTTGGATATACCTAAACTATTTTCATCAACATTATTCAGTTCCCCCATACAATTACTTTCACTTGCACTTTGTTTTTACCCATATTAAAGTATTATACTTTCTAATTTTCTTTTGGTTTAGATTTTGCTTTTGCTTTCACCTTAGGTTTAGTTAAATCTTTTATTGCTTCTTGTAATTCATAAACAGAACTTTCTAACCATTCAATTTTTGTTTGCTGTTCTCTACACACACCCCATAGGATACCTGTTAGTTTGATATAACTTAATTTCTTAACACCTTCATTATCAGTCATAACAATGTTTTCCCATTCATCATGTATTGCTTCTTCTATTTCATTTGCTATAAATCCTATGTGAGTTTTAGTTATTCCTACTTCTTTCTCTTCTTCCATTTTGAAAGTTTTAGGTTCAACTTGTTTTACAATATCAGTGAAATTGTGTTCAATAGTTCTGACGTCATACTTTTTAGTTAAATCAGATGTATCAACTAAATCGCCTTCTAATGTATAAGGTGGTGGAACAGAAACCTTTGTTGGTGTAATATAAAGTCTTATACCATTATTCGCAAAAAATCTTAAATCACCATTAGGGTCTTCATTGAAAAAGTTAGTGTGATTTACACCTGCTATATTTGCAGAAGTGAAATAACTATTTACATTAGTCCCTTTATGAAAATACAACCGCTTATCTTGAATAACATAAGCATCTTTTGAAATCATTACATTTTCTTCATCTTTTCTTAATCTCATAAATTCAGTATATCCATTTCCTACGGTATTAGCACCTTCAAGAAGCAAATCGTTAGTTGTTGGTGTTCTTGTTCTAAGGTAATTACAATACAAATAATTTGAAGATAATGCCCTGCCAGTAGCAACATCAACCATATTTTGTGCTCCATCTAATCGTAAAAATTCAACACCGTTTCTTTGAAATACCATATCGTTATCGCCTGTTGTATTGATATTATTTATTTTAGCATCAGCAGAATGCAAAGATACACCAGTGTTCGTTTCAACTTGACCGTTTCTTAAATAAAAGAAGTCAATACTGTTTCTTCTAAATGCCACATCAGCATTACCGATACTATTGTAGGTATTAGACCTGATACCTAATGAAGCATTTATATCTACTGAACTCAAAGCACCATTAAAATTCATATATCCTATACCATTCCTATTAAATACAACATCGTTATTACCGAAACTGTCAAAAGCATTACACAAAATACTAGGTATTGTCATTTCAACTGCTGATGATATACCTGTTTTATATACTTGCAATACATCCAACACGTCACCAACACCGAATGAAATATAAATGCGTTTATGGTGGATACATCCACGAACTCTTCTTCATAAATAAAACTCTTTTCAGCACCTTGTAAAAATTGTAATTGATTACTTGTATTAAATTTGAAAACGGCAATGCTATTTCTTTGACTAAATCAACGTCAGTAAAGCTATTAAGTAAGTTAGTTAGCAGTCCAAGATTACTGGCGCATTTAAAGGCGCATAAGCAACAATTTCAGCATTGTAAATTTCAAACCTTTTGTATTGACCGAATTGTTGCGGACCACCTATTGAAAACCTAAATGACTGTAAAGAATTTCCTTCAAAATAAGTTTCACTTCTAATTAATTGTTGGTTTTCACCTGTGCTCTTAATATAGTTGCTGACTCACTGCACACAGATCGTGGAGAATCGAACGATCTCTCCACTTCCACATCCTTGATCCCTTCAAAATAATTCTCACTCAGATTCAAGAAATTGATCCAATAAAATTCTCAAAAATGTCAACGAACCCACATGCAGTCTGAGCTTGCCGCCGCCAAACTTTTGAGACTGCACTAGGCGTGGGGTCGAGCAGTCTGATCGATTGGTCATGCTGTCATTGAACCGTGACACTGAAATGCAGGAGCCTGCTGAAGGCGCACACCAAATGAAAAAGCTCAAACGAGCAAAGCACAGCTGTCAGAGCCAGATGGTATGCATCTATCCCTCAGAGCCTAGCTGCAAAACAGATGAAAGAAAAATGCCCCTACGGTGAATGCAAAACACTCAGTGAACTCCAATCCCCACCACGATCATAAAGCGGTGGGTGGACGATGGAGCTCCACCCACCCTGCGTATTCTGCAGGGCGGGTGGGAGGGTCAAAAATTCCTCAGGGGCTGTGATGATCTCTTCTTTGAGTCCAAAATGGCACACGGGCGAACGGTCACCTCAGCATCACGATCGTGGACCCTTCGACATGAGAATGATCATCACAGAAATAAATCAAAAGTAAAATATATATAAAGAACAGTAAATAGAGCAGGAAGCATATATACATATGAACGCAAGATCAGGATGTTAAACTGTATTAGAGAGTCCCTCGCTTGTTCCAGACCAACCTATCCGTCAACATGCAAACGACTCACTGCACACAGATCGTGGAGAATCGAACGATCTCTCCACTTCCACATCCTTGATCCCTTCAAAATAATTCTCACTCAGATTCAAGAAATTGATCCAATAAAATTCTCAAAAATGTCAACGAACCCACATGCAGTCTGAGCTTGCCGCCGCCAAACTTTTGAGACTGCACTAGGCGTGGGGTCGAGCAGTCTGATCGATTGGTCATGCTGTCATTGAACCGTGACACTGAAATGCAGGAGCCTGCTGAAGGCGCACACCAAATGAAAAAGCTCAAACGAACAAAGCACAGCTGTCAGAGCCAGATGGTATGCATCTATCCCTCAGAGCCTAGCTGCAAAACAGATGAAAGAAAAATGCCCAGGCCCTTACCTACTTATCTGAGCATGGAAGGCCAAATCGGGCGGACAGTAGACCAACCTGCTGCTTCGCCTAAATGGAGCTTACCCCTGGACGGCCAATCTGCTGGATTAGCGTCCGTTGAAATGCGATCGATAAACACCCTAACTCTGAGCTTAAGTGCCAACTCCCAGAATACAGAGATGATGCCGCACATGTCTTCACGACTGGAGTAGCCTTTGATCAAGGCTCCCTCCACAGCTTCAGAGTCAATGAGCAAAATCAGATCAGCATCCACAAGCCTATCCGCGAACGTTGACAGTGCAAAAACAGGGGCTAACATCTCGATCGGAACGATCTGAGTTGATCGCTCGAGCCACTGTTCTTTCAAACATGGTGGGACAACGAACGTGAACTGACGTGGCTGTCTCAACCGACGATCAAACAAAACACCACCAATCCTGTCCGGGCTGGACTCACTGGATCTCGGGTCTGGTGTGAAGCCATCCGTAAAGATCACCACATCAGTCAGCTTCTCGCGTGCCAGATCAATGGAGCGCGGCGGGCCCGCCAGAACGAGCTTACGCCACTGTGTCAGCGATTCCATGAGCTGGCGATCCAAGTTGAACTCTGCTGAAGGAGGGAACTTCCAGTATTGGCGCTCCGAGATGGGTCGCAAGAACGCACGCCCGATCTTTCCCCACAACTGCGAAGCACCAAACAATGAGCTTGCCTTTGAGCTTACCCGCTGAACCAGGGTCGAGCAGGCCAGAGCTAACAATGGCGTCGATTTCCTCGACCAACTCCTTCTTCCTCTCCTCCTTGATCTCGAGCTGCAACTTGGTCAAGTTATAGGTCACTCCCAGAACTGTAGGTGCCTGAGAGAGCTGCAGTTTCTTTTGATCAAAGAGAGCCACCAGTGGACGGACTCTGCAACACGCCGAGCACTGGGAGCCGAAACTGCAGGCTCAAAGCCATACTTGTCATCGTAGAAGCTGAAAGCGACCAGTTTGAACAAGGAGACTAGGATCTCATTGATCGCCGCCGATCTCCTGTTATAGTTGTAGACTGCAGACACGAGCCCAAAAGAGTGGCCAACCATCACAAAGAACTCTGGATTGCCCGAGCACGGGGACTTGAGGCAAATAACAGAGAATTTCCGCTGATCTGGTCTCACTGCAATCTGCCTGTATGCTTTTCTCTCATCGAGCACCCAGCCTTGCAAATCACGCTCCGGAGCAGCAGTAATGAGCGACCGGAGAGCAGCAACATTTGAGTCCGTTGAAGGCAGTTGTAACTTCTCCGTGATCTCGGTGATCTGGTTGATCAAATTGGTTGTGGCACTATCACAACCTCTGACCTTGTTCTTTTGCACTACTTCGAACCGCTGAGTGGGGATCCAATCATCCTGCTGGAGCACCGTCGTAACCTCAGCTTCAGAGACAAAAGGACCTAGGCAAGAGCCTTCGCCAACATCTTCCAAAGTCGCGTCCCAGAGCTTCTGTAAATTTTCTGTGACTGGAACACCTCTCACACGCTGAACAATCTTTGCCCGGATCTCCCAGGCCCTGTCAAGAGCATGTTGGACCGGAAGAACTTTCTGAGGCTTATCATAGGCAGGCCATCGCCCGGTGGCCTGAATAGGCCCGACGATTGGGAAGCCGGTCAGCAAAAGCGACGGCAAATGGGTGTCCACCGAGCCAATGGCCTCGAGCATCTCTGCATAGAGGGCAACATGACACACTTCTCCCAACCGAGCTTGTTCAGGATGAGCAGCGCCCAACAACAGACGGCGAAGAGCCGCGTCAGGTTGGGCCATGATGAGCTCGATGGACTTGGGCAACAATGCCAGAGCACGAGCATGCCAAAAACAAAGAGCACGCTCGCGCCACAAAACCACTTGCGCCGGATCGGCTGTCACCTGCTGGATGGCCGCCTGCAGCGGCAGGGGCAAAGTCGCAGCACGGCTAAAAGGATGAACTTGGCGAAGAGCAAAAGCGATCGCCTCGCCAGGCTCCATTTCCACTTCCAGCAAAGGCTTGCAAGCGCCACGTTTCAGCTGATAGCCCGCTTGAAGAGCTTTCTGTGCCGTCGTGGCCTGCCGGTGCCGAACCCACGGCTTGCCAGAACCAAGTGCACGCTTGCGGTCCCCGCTCGGGGTAGTGAGCCCAAACGACGGCTGCAAGTGCACAAAATCCTGCAAAAAGATGTGGCACACCTGTGCCGCGACACTAGCGCAGAGCACGAAAGGATACACCTGAGCTTGCTTGGTCTTGAACACCAGTCGCTGCTGCACTGGATCCCACACCTTGCCCTTGAGCTTCTCGTGTTTGTGGGTGCCAGGGCACCGAATGCACAGAACGTCCAGCAGCTGCGTAGAGCACACAAAGCGGGTAGGCTTCATCCAGGGTGTACCAAAAGCGCACTGATCACAATCCAAAGCGAATGCCCTAGTTTGGCGCACGAGCTGACGAAGGAGCTCTGTTTCCCATAACAAACTGAGCAGAGGGTTCTCGATCATGAAGTCACCTCCCAAACTGAAAACCAGGTAGCAGGCCTCCACCGTGCGCTCCAAAAATAAGTTTCCCAGAAAAACGAGCATGCGATCAGCCTCGGACAAATTCGGCAGGCCGAGCGGCGCATCTGCAGAGCGTAGCGGGGGTGGGCCGCCATCAAGCTTACGAGCAGCCGTAAAAGTGTTGCACGGCGTGCCGCAATGCAAAAAGAAAACCAAACCTAAGGTGATCACTTCCAAAATCTTCTGCCAAAAGAGGGCATCGAGCAAGTCGCGCGGGGTTGTCACCCGAGCCGAAGGCACCACATCAACAGGAGGTAGAACAGGAACTCCTGCCGCAAACACTGCATCGGAGATCCCCGCTTCACCTGCGAACAGCTCCAGGAAGAAAGGCCCCGAGCGGCCCAAGACCTTCCGATCAGACAAAACCTGATCCCAGTCTGGCCAATGGAGCTGCCCTCCCAGCAACGCTGTCCGATCGGCCGCCAAGGCAGCCGGACCATCATTCGCGGTGCCAGCCTCACCTGACCAATCCCCAGGAGGCGGCGAGAGACCATCCTGGGGGCTGCTGCTGCGGTCTCAGTGATTGCCATGCCAAGGGTTGTCTTTTCCACACTCGGCACAGCTATGCTTGAGCTTGCACTGATCACCAAAACGACAACCAAGCGAACTGTTGTAGAAAGGACAACGACGCCCACCAGAATATTTGAACGAAGTAATTGTCTGCCATTCTTTGGCCGGGACCCGGTCATCACGAGCAGGCTTGCGAGCCCCGTCCTTCGCCGGAGGAGTGGTCCCAGCGAGCACGGCCTTGGCTTTCTGGAGCTGGTTCTTCTGATGAGCTCTGCGGGCTTTGTTCTTCTTGGCCTTGGCGGTGGAGGCAGGGGGCTCAGGTGAGCCTGAGCGAGGTCGCTTCTTGGGTGTCACCGGAGCTGGTGTCAAAGTTGCCTGCTTGAACTTGTCGAGCTCGGCACTGGAACGAGCATCGTTCCACAATTGCTTGTGGTTGGTGAGCACCTCCAGGAGCGCCGCTGAGAACGTAGTGAACTGCTTTCGCTGATCAGAGCTCACCCGGTGAACCTTCTTGCGAATCAAAGCATCTACTGCCAGTAAAAGGGCAAGGCCGCGATTCTCATGCCGCCACTCCTCGAGCTGAGCCAGGTACTTCAAAGGGCCCGCCTGGACTGTGAACTCGCAAATGTTCAGGTACTCGAGCGTGATGAAGAAGGCGTGGAGCTTGTCCATGACCTGAGACTCTGAACTGGCCGCGGCTGGTTGGTCGATCATGACCACTCGCAGCAGGTCTTCAGCATTTTTGGAAAGGCCAGACTTCTGGGCGATCTGCTCATTCCGGGTGCGGATCTCCCCCACCTCGTAAAAATGAACAAAACCATGCACCAGGTAGTCTCGCTGGACGCGCTCGACGAACTTGCGGTGTGGCTCCCGATGGAGGGGCAAAAGAACGTCAGGGTGGCGATTGACGAAGGTCTCGCGGAACTCGGCATGGTCTTCTCCAGGGATCTCCGGCACTTTTGACGGATCCTCTTCCATCTTGGCCGGCCGAGCGGCAAAATGATCTTGCATGGTACTGCACGTCTTCCACACTGCAGCCAAGGAGGTCAATGCCAATTCCTGAGCGGGACCATCTGTGCCAAAGGAGGTGACATCCGGAACCAAGCTCTTGAGAGTCGCCTTGACCGAGGCAATGTCGTCTCCGAGCATAGCAAAGGTCTCCACTGTGAGCAGTCCAGCATTGGCCGCTAACTTACACAGATCAGGTGCCACCCGCTGTCGCCCGAGCACTTGCCGCAATGGCAGGTCAGGGGTCTTATCTGCATCATAGACCGTGCGGTCCAACATGATTGGGCGAGCGCAGGAAATGAAGCTAGGTGAGCTGAAAAACTGAAAATATCACACAAACAGAAAAATTGCAAGGAGTTCCCACAGGCAGACAGCAGGACAGAACCGACACACACACGTGGGCTCAATCACTGCGACCTTACCTGCAACCAAGGGGCCGAGCACGTTGGCTGCGGTGATATGCCTCGAGCACTTCTGGACGAGCGCGCGAGCAATGCTTGCACAGCACCGATGCGTCGGGCAAACACGACCCTACATGGGTGCAGTCAACCTTCAAGATGCGCCCACAAGCAATGGCCTCCTCGTTGTCAGGTGCCGTGCAGTGGTATCGCTAGTCATAGGTGGCCGAACCGTTGGCCTTCACAAAGAACTGGATCTGGTCAAAGGCGGACGGATCCTCCGAATCCAGCTCCACGTCTTCTGACTCTTCGACTGGGTGCTCCTGCACGAGCATATCTTTGACCAGCTGCTGGACCATCTTGGCCGGAATAGCTGAGCGGTTGCGGGTATACTTGAGGACGAGCGGTCCTGGGTTCTTCCAATTGGCCTGCAGGCCGATCTCCTCTGTGCTGCGCCCGGCATGCACTGCTGCATCGAGCATTGTCACTCGAGCTGAGTGCGCCGTCAAACTGTTGACCACGCTTGCCAACTCCTTGAACTCTTCCTCCTGGCCAGTATGATAGTGGTTGAGAGCAAACCTTCCAATGAAGCGGAGCCATTGCACAGAGCGTTGATAAGTCGCCGGTGCATCCCTGAACGCATCTCTAGAGTTCAGATCCCTCATCCAGAAATCGCGAGCTAAACCAAAGTGTTCACTTTGTAAGAGCTCCCATCCAGAACGAAGCCAATCTGACCCAGAAAAGCCTACATGGGGGACGACGAACTTGGTGCCCCGTCTCTTGCGCTCCACCTTGGTCTGCCATGCAACGCCAAAGAGCCCCTCCTCATTCAAGATGAGCTCATCTGGGCGAACATGCATCGCATCATCAAAACGAAGTGATGCGAAGACCATACAGAGCCACCACCATGTAAAGAGCCTGATAGCCTCGGGCTCCCCCTCATCAACCACGAAGAGCTCCAGTGCCCGCACCACCGGGGTGGGTATAGGAACCGCCTCCTTCAGGGTGCGAGCTCGCTTCCCGATGACCTCTGCTTGGAGCGCCAAGAGCCCTTGATGATCAATGTCAGGGCAATCAATGGCCAACTTAGAGGTTACCCACTTGACCGAAGTTCTAAAAGTAGGGATAACAGAAGGGCCACATTCAAGACTATCTAAATGAAGAGCATACTGAATGAGCTTATTGGAGGTTAAAGGAAAAACTTCAATGCCCTTTGCCGTTGCCCAGTCTGCGAACCGCTCCCAGTTGGTGACATGAGTCGCCATCGTCCTAGGAGCACCAGACGATAACACCAACTGGCGCAGACGAGCCACTTCAGCATGGGAGAGCCCCGACTCATTGGCTGTGTCGAGCAACAGCTTAGAGAAAGTGCCAGCTTTCTTGCCGATCTCCTCCAGCCGAGCTGCCCACTTCCACCTCGCCGCATTCTCCTGATCGAGCAACGGAGTGGCTGACGCTGACTCAGAGCTAGTCTTGAGGAACTTCCTAGGGGGGTTGAGAGGTCGCCCAGATAGAGCCTTGATTGCCCCCGCCCGACGAGCTTTAGCCGATTCCGAGCTGATGGGCACATCTGGTACCTCGCACAACCCAAACCCTAGCTGATTTGCAGTTGACTCGAAAAACGCTCGTTCCACTGAGCAAGCCAAAGACCAAAACTGCTCTAGCATAAAAGACGAGCCCAGCAAATCACCTCTAATGCCCTCATCCAAGTGGGGGGCCCATTCCGTGACCTTGGCTACAAATTCGTGAGCCGACGTAACCTCCATAGCGGCTACGAACGCCAGGTTGGCAAATGGAGAGCCCTGCACAGCCTTGGCAAAGGCATCATCAAAAATCGGAAGTGAGAGGATCTTGCACGCCCATCTGTTGCCACTCTGAGCCATGATCGAACTGGCGTGCAGCAAACAGTGAACATGGATCCTAACATGTAATTAAACGATCAAAGGTAATTTCGGAGGTTATACATCTAAACTACCTATTGATCAATAATTAATAATTAAAACCGCCGCGTCGGCGTGAAAGAACGAGATGACTGACCAGAAAAGACCTGGTCTGTCGCTCTCACTCAATCCAGTGCTGAGATCCCACAGCCCTGCCCCTGAGGTGATCACCTGAGCCGGGCTATAGCGATGTCTCATGCACACAATTGAATCCCTGGAAATTGAGCAATGCTAGAGAACATCAATGTCTCCAGGGTAAACGAACAACATGAGGTATGGGATGTATGCAGCAGGTATGAACCAGATGAAAACCTACCGACCTAACCCACAACCTCAAGACATGTCAAATCAATTGAAAAATACCGTCGATATCATATAAATTGAGATCAAGCGGAGCCGGATGACTGACCGTTTTCACGACTCTGTCGCTCCGACTCATGCTCGATCTGAGATCCCGCAACCCTTCTGAGGTGAGCGCCTGAGCAAGGTGCTAGTCAATCCCAGAAAAGGGCAGTCAGGGTGAACACCCAAAACAAAAGTTGGGGAGTGTGGCGCAGGCGTCAACCCTCTGATCAAGATGCGCAATCAGAGAACTCACGACACAAGGCCTGCCAACACTCATTTTTCGCACGCTGCGGCCTGGATACCAGGCAAGTATTGTGGCTACTCGAGCAATTTCGGCTTCCGCTGCTGGAAAGCTCTGAGCAAATCAATTGAACCAAAATAAAATGAAAATATGCTACACATCATCAGCCTCTTCGATCACTGGCTCTGGGCCAAAAGAGCGCGGCACAGAGGTGGTTGAGCCTCCAGGCGCACTGCCCTGAGCCACTCGCCGAACCTGCTCCACAAAGTTCTGAGGAGTCACTGCGGCTTCTGCCAACGACTCGCTCAACCTGGACTCCAATGAACGACGTTGCACATGAACAGTCATTTCACCTGGAGCTGCAGGTCGTGGAGCTTGCCCTGCTTCTGTGACCGAGATCACGGTCTCCACCAAAGGCGCAGCTTGCACTGGAGCTGCAGCTGGCCCCACCAGAGCTTTCAAGGCCCCTGGGGCATCTTTGAACTCCACAGCAGCCGGCCCACCCAGAACTGGTGGAACAATGATGGCCTGTTTCTCCTGGTCCGGGTCATGGCACTGAAGAGCAATGGCATCAGGCGGTACGATCGCCTTCTCGGCCTGGAACAATGGTGACTCACAGGTCAGGTGGAGGTTGCTGTGGTGACTGTCGACCGCCACTGCCCCCACCCTTGGACCTGTGTCAGCCACTGATGTGGCCTCTGTGGCAGCAGTCCAGTGGGCGTGAATGCCTGCGAGCTGGGACATCTGCATTGTTTTGTCCGGTCCTTCTACACGAGCATTCCTCTCACGGCACCAACGAGCATTCTGGATAAGCATCGGCCCCGACACTCGAGAGAGCGTGAGCCATGTCGTTGGCACGTTGAGCTGTGAACATGCCACGTCCAGCTGATCTCCAGCTGATCTGAACCTGAACTCAAGACGGTCTGCATCCATCCCGATCGCATCCACAGATGACAAAGCTGTCATGCGAATCTCGAAATGGCAGAGGGGGTAGTCGAGAGCTACCACTACGCCCTTGTCAGAGCACACATAGATCCGACCACCCACCTCAAAGCTGACCGCCACAACTCTCCATCCAGAGAAGACCGTCACGACGACCGCAGGCACGAACAGGATCTCCTTGAGGGAGGTGACGAGCCCGTCATTGATGTAGTTGAGCTGCACCGACATGTCCTGCACCGATCTGTAACCACGGAGCTCCAAGTGCAAGAGCAACTGGCCCTCGATCTTCAGCTTGACGTCGACCCAAATCGACGAGTCATTCCTCATGAGCGGCCAGCGAAAAGGCTGGAAGGCTGAGTGCGACATGACCTCACCAGTCTCAGCGTCCCAATTAGCACATGGGACACTCTCATAGCTGGTCATCGAGCCCACCACGATGAGCTTGTAGCCATCCATAGCCCGCACATAGAACAGGTTCATGTGGTAGCCCACACTTGGCGATCGCAGCAACTGGCGATCCGAGAGGATGTTGATCCTGGATTGCGCGTTCAGCAAGATCTCGTCGAGCAACCAACCCTGGAAGGGACTAGTGATCCTACCATCACGGTTGTCCACAATGAGGATTGATCTTTCACCTTGTCCTGAACCGAGCTGCTGAATAAACGGTGGCAGCTGGAAATTCTGGGGATTGAGCGCCCCAGACACAGGCATTTGTCCCCAGCGGACGCGCTTGTGGCCACGAGCTTTGGCCCTCTCTTTCTGCTTGGCCAGCTTGGTATTTTGCTGGAGCTGGTCCCCGAGCAGATTCTTGGCTGCCTGAGTGGCAGGCGCAGAGCCAGCCCCAGTGGGCACATAACCGCTGCTGGCAGCTTGCCCTGGTTGCTGAACAGGCGGCCCAAAGTAGGAACCATCAACAGGGGGAACGTCATCGTCACTCGGCTGATCCCAAACCGATGGTCCTTCGCCCCCTTCAGGAACAGTAGTGGGTGGAGCTGGTGGGCGAGCCTTGGGCAGTGGTGTCTGTCGATCACCTGGCACTGCACTCCAAGAGCCCATGGACACTCCACTCGCTGAATCATCTGGCTGAACCTGATCAGCAGCACGACGAGCTGCCATTGCTTGCTGCTGAGCTAACGGCAATGGAAATGCCGGGGGAAAGGCCGATTGAGGCATACTGAAAAACAGAAGAGATCAAATCCCAGGCCCCACACTAAGAACTCACGCCACACAAAAGGCAGAGCCAAACCAAGAGGTCATTTTGAAGATGTAAGCCAACATAGTAATCTTCAAAAAGATTTTCAACAAGCAAGCTAAATAACCAAAATCCATCCTCCACAACCGCACACATCCCAGCGCACATCCTTACCCACATCCCAGCAACATTTCAAAGCAACCAACCCCCCATAACATCAA